TTTTAAAAGCTAATAACTCCAGAACCAATAATTTTTTTAAAAATATCTAGACGATAGATTGTAGAACTAGTCAAAAGTTATCAAATATCGTCTCTAATTTTTTCAGACAAGCACACAATATTTTCTTTATAAGTTTTAAAGTTGGTCAATTTTTATTTGATGTGTTAGTGTGACCCGCACTATACTAAAAAAATTTTAAGCTCGTACGTACGTGTACGATACGTGCATGTGTACGTGTACGATTTCCCAACCCTGAATAGGTGATCCGCACTGTAAACGTGATAAATCGAACTTTCCATCATGCTCTCATATCATTACTATTACTATTACTATTTTCTATTTACTGTTACATTTTTTAAAAAAAACGCGCATTTCTCTATGCTAAAGCAAAAAAAATCATAAAAAAATTATAAATAGAGAGAAAATGGAACATTGTTCGGTAAATGTTTATATGAATATTTAATAGAAATTCGGTACTGTACAAATGATCATGTGCAATATTGTTAATTCTTAATTATTATTATTACTATTATTATTATAGCAAAGTAAAAGCAATAAGAGTGGCAATTATAATAACGATCTAAATAACCAACAACAAAGAAAAAATCAAAATCAATATAAAAAAAAAAGCTTATATGAATTTATTAAACCAGCACATTATGATCAACAGAAAAGAAAGCCTCAACGTTCTTTACATTCTTCTTTAAATAATTCTGTTCCAACATCATTTATCACTTCCCCAACCTCTGACCACGAAAGGCGTGTAATAGAAGATCTTCCAATAATTAACGATTCATCTTTTAACAATATTATTTATAATAATGATACATTCAATCATGATAACTCATCACAAAATTTAGGAAAATCTAATTCCAAGTATTTTAACAGCAACAACGATAACATGAATTATGAAATTTCTCAACCTGTTGTTATTACTTCATCTGCTTATTCTAAAGTTCCTAATCATAGAGTTCAACATTCTCATGGCTCAGATATTACTTTTAATAAATCATATGTTAATAGTAATCAACAACAAAAAAAAAGAAATCAACATAAAAAAAAAAGTTCATATGAATTTATTAAACCAGCACACCATGATCAACAGAACAAAAAGCCTCAACGTTCTTTACATTCTTCTTTAAATACTTCTGTTCCAACATCATTTATCACTTCCCCAACCTCTGACCACGAAAGGCGTGTAATAGAAGATCCTCCAATAATTAATTATTCCAATAATGATGATAACGATTCATCTTTTAACAATATTATTAATCATGATAACTCATCACAAAATTTAGGAAAATCTAGTCCCAAATATTTTAACAATTACAAAGATGACAAAAACAAAAACAATAATATGAACTATAGAATTTCTCGATCTGCTTCTTCTAAAGTACATAGTCATAGAGTTCAATACTCTCATAGTTCAGATATTACTTTTGATAAATCATATGATAAACAACTACAACAAACATCACAACCAATACAGCCAATACAATCACCACAATCACAACAATCATCACAAAATACAAGCAGTGGTTTATTAAATAACAATAAATCTGTCTGTACAGAGGATCTACAAAATCATTCTAAAGAATTTTTTACAAATTTAGACACTTTCTCAAATTCTAATACAGTTGGCCACACCAACGAAAGCAATCATAGTAATAATAATGATGATGGTGATATTTTACTAACTAATGAGTTATCTATTAGGCCGAGAATAAGAAATTTTGTTCCCTGTATATTATTTAGAGACAATGACGTTCCTGGTTCAAAAGTTCATTCACCATCTTCTAACAGTACACCTAAATCTATCTATAATTATAATATACGACAGAATAACAATAGTGACAATAATAGTACAGTAGTTTATCAAAGTTTTTCAAATGATAATTACACTCAACAAAATAATGATATAAATGCGAATTATGTTAATAATTTTAATTATCAATATCACTCTCAAAAAGCATCATCATCATCGTCTATACCTGTTAATAATCAAGAATTTCAATATCATCATCAACAGCAACAAAACGGAGTTTCAGGTTCGCCCGACAATCAAAAAATTCGGGATGAACCAAATAATGAAGTAGTTGATCAATTAAATGAACTTAACATCACTAATAATGATGGTGAAGATACTGCCGCCACAATTATATCTAATAATAATATTAAATCTTATAATTCATCTGAATATTATGAAAATCAATCTCAAAACTTATGCCACCTATCTCATACTAACAATCAAATAGATAATTCACAACTATCTGGAACCAATAATAATAATATTTACAATCCAATATTACAACAATTATTAGGAGGATATAATAGTAAACCTTATTTTGATACAAATAACAAAATGAGTCCAATTATTGATAATTATAATAAACCAATGAAAAATAATTATTATAATGTTAACAACAACAACAACAACAACAATAATGCACATATAAACTATACAAATAACTCAAATATTACAGTTGACGCAAAACGTGTCAGCTCCTCTTCTTTTCATATGCCCCCATATCACAAAAATCATATAGGTGATTATAATAATAATGATACATGTATATCTAATATAAATGACAAAACTAGGTACCAAGAAAACGATAATAATAATAATAATAATAATGCAACAAATAAAGACAGAAGACCATCCATTCCAGCCCCAATAACAACAAGCAAAAGATTTTCAAATACATTCAAAAAATCTAAAAAACAACATCCAAAGTATCAGGAAGCAACTTTAAGTTTACAAAATAGTCAATACCAGTCTGCTATTAGATTATACTCAGAAATATTGACCCAAATTCCCAATAGTTATTCATTGAAGTGTGATAGAGCATTTGCTTATCTAAATATTGATGAATTTGCACTTGCACTTTGTGATTTGGATGATGCATTAGTAATGAAACCAAAGAAATCTCGTGCTTGGGAAATTCGTGAAGAAGTTTTTCGTCTACAAATTCAATATGAAGACGTTTTAGCTGATCAGAATAACTGCCTCAGGATCCAACCAAATAATACTTCACAAATGCATAAATATGAAATGGAATTACAAGATTTGAGTGATAGCGGTAGAATTCCAACTTTAAAAGGCAACCTAAAGAAAAAAGAATGTATAATTTGTGTTGAAGAACGACCTCCTAAATCATTTGTGATAATTTCAAATAATTGTAATCATAATGCAAACATATGTGATGAGTGTGTTAATAAATACATTGAAGGTAATTTAAATGATAAAGGTGATATAAATATCAGGTGTCCTTTTATAGGATGTGGTGTAATTTTAGATAATTACGAAATAAAAAATCTTGTTAATGATAATTTATATCAAAGGTAAGAAAAAAACAAAATGATTTATTTTGATTTTTCAAAAGCAAAAACAAAAAAAAAAATTTAAAAATTTTAATTTTATTAGATATGACGAATTAGCATTACGTAAAGCACTCCAACAGATGCCAGATATTAGATGGTGTAAAAATCCTAAATGCAAATCAGCTCAATCTCATGTAGGAAGTGAATCTGAGCCAATATTAACATGCAGTGATTGTGGAACTAAAAGTTGCTTCACACATGATTCATTATGGCATGAAGGATTAACTTGCCAACAATATGATAAAATCGACAAAATTAGAAATAAGGCTACTCAAAAATATTTAGCAAAACATACCAAACCTTGTCCCAAATGTGGAGTAAGAATTTCAAAGAATGAGGGATGTGATCATATGACATGCAAAGTTCCTGAATGCAAATATGAATTTTGTTGGTTGTAAGTATAATTTACAAAATAATAATTTGTAATTTGATTAATGATTTATGATTTATGATTTGACCATTAAATTAATATTAACCAATAATAATTTATTATTAGATGTTTTGCAGATTATGAGAGTATTCTTAATTATGGAAATCATTATCATAAAAAAACTTGTACTTATTATAGTGCTTATGAAGAGTTGTAAATTATTATTTTTTTTGGATTGGTTGTATTGGATTAGAATTTTTTTAATATTTGTGTTTGTATACTTGGCACTTTTATTTAAAGACATGTGCCATCTCTCAAGATTTTAAAAATAGAAAGATAAAAATCAATTAATCATAAATTTATAACAATATCATTAATTAAGTTATGATCTGCTTATAAGTAATTGTTGAAGTTAAAGAGAAAGCGTTTCAAAACCCAATAAATTTAAGTTATAAGCACTTAAAATGACCAATTTTTCATACGTCATAAAATCTACTGTATTAAAAAGATTGACCTATATTAATATTTGACGACAGTAAAAATTCGAAATGACAAACCGATTAGAGAAACCAAGTTTAGCTGTTGAACAAAATTCAACTTCGGTTTACATTGTAGTTTGATATTATTCAATTTATTTATAATATAAATAATATTAATATATTACGAAAAAATAAGATAAATAATAACAATATATTTTTCCATTTCGTCCTTTGTTGCACCTTGTAACATTAACTTCGGCAGCAATCTTACCAAGACATTTACAACTAATAATAATCATCGTAACTGGAATGTTTTAGTAAAGGTCAGCATAGTTTCTACCACAACCATTTTCCTTTTTATTATTATGCGATCGACAAATTCTTCGATTCGAATATTCGGAATTCGAATTCTTTCACTTCCCAGACCTTCTATACAATTAGATTCAGATTCAACTACCACATCTGAAAACTATAATGACAGTATCACAACCTTCATCTGTTTTAATTAGTTTTAAACCAGTTACAAAAAAAGATGCGAAGAAAACTTGCAATCAACTAAAACGTGGAAAGCTAAAGATCACTATGGTGTGTAAAGTTTGTTCCAATAATCGAAGAGAGAAAATGGTTAAAGCATAATTACCACATATAACCTTTCGCATAATAGTTTCAAGTTATATTTTTATTATGAATTTAAAATAAAAAAATTTATTGAAATTTAAATTTAAATTTATATAATTGGTTCGAATCAAATTATTGGTTCAAATCGTTCTAATGGTACGAATCATTCGAGTCGCTGATGGTACGAATCGTACTAATCGTTGATGGTTCGATTCGAATCAGTTCGTACGTAAGCTTTATGCAATAGTCGTAAATGGAATATCCAAATCAACCTTATTCGGAATACTGAGGTCATATGATTCTGAAAGCACAGTTTCACTCGATTACACTTTCTTGGAAGTTTCTAAAAAAGTTGTTTTCCACTTGATTTTTTCGAGACTAGCATATTCCGCTGTCACATTAATATCAAGTTAGTTCAAAAGAATTTCGATGCTACAAGCGGTATTGCTTACCTCAAAACCAACAGAAGAAACTTTCTTAGTTTATAATTGAAAACGCAATGTGAGAACCTTTTAGTTATTGCATAGTATTTCGATTTTGAAAAAATATTATTTAATTTATTAATATCGAACATAGAGGGATTTCTTTCAGACCATTTTGGCACAAAAGAGTCAACCCTTTTAAATTCTATTCAAAGAGACGTTTAAATTAGCCAATCGGATTTTACATAAATGATTATTAAAAATTTTTTTTAATAGTTCCAGAGTTCATTGTCCCTGTTATGAGGATAACAAAAAAGGTGTTTGAAATGATAATTTGTTAGGTCTGACATCTAAGCTCGATATCAAAGCTCCTCGAATGTTAGCTCATGTGAAGTTTTGCTCTGTATGTTAGATTCATTTATTATTTTTTGGAATATTTTTGGAACTTTATGTATATTAGTGATGATATGGGGATGGGAAAATAATTTTATTTTCTCTTAGAATTGGTTTTATTATTTGGATGATGCAATTTATTTTATAATATTTCAAATAATAATACACCAAATGTATCACATAGTCATCATAATCATTATAGCAGATATGAATTAAATGGCTATAAAAGATAAGTCATATTGTATTTATTTTGATTTAACTAAGATATAGAAAAATACATTATAAGAAAAGAAACATCAGAGCAATTGCATGGGAAGAAAATGCACAGACCAAAGCCATTGATGATTATTATCTATTCTTTGGTTACCCTGGCACAGACTTATTATTATCATTATTACTACATATATGCCTTTTTCAATATTTAGTAACATAATAAAGAATTAAAATGAATATTTACTAATTCTTTCTTTTTAACTGACAAAGAGTTATTATGCATATAGTGAAACTTATAGACAAAATCATTAAGAATTAAACAGAGGATAAAGAGTTTTTTTTATATAAAGAATTTCTTTCTTTTTTAATTGACAAACAATTAGAATGCAGATGGTGAAACTTTTATAGGTGAAATTATTATGTATAAGAAGGCAAATATGGGCGTGGTCAACTCATAAAATATTATAGAAATTTTATTTTTATTTTTGGAGCCTAGGCTACAAATTGATATGATGAGGGAAACAGATGAAGGAAGAAATAACTCAATTTGTAAAATGCTACCTACAAAAAGGATCAATAGATTATATAAATGAAGAAAGAAAGATGTGATTCTAGTACAAAGAATTTTAAATCATGTACAAATCTATCTCCATCAATAAGATTACAAATAATAGCTTTATTAATGTGATTGTGCAATTGGTGTAGTCTTGAATCCCATGCAATTGTACTGGTAATTTTTTATATTTTTAATTATATATCTTAGTTAAATAAAACAAATAAACCTGACTTAGCTTTTTATTACTACATAATTCTTTCCTTGTGCATGAAATATACTTTTGCTCCCCACTGTTATGTATGTCTATTACAATGTTCGCCATGGTTATGCAATATATTTGATAATATTGTGAAAAATTAACAAATAAATGAAACTGTTAATTGTACAGCTCGAGTCATCTAAATCTGACCACTGTAGCAAAACCTGGCAAAATTTCAAATTTTAGAATATCATTTCTAATTCAGTAAATAAAATTTCTTGAATAGGAAATGACCCTTCCTAAATTATCATCAAAAAAATTTGGGTGAAGACCATTCCTTAATAGTTAATGATCAATGGAAGAGGTGGTAAAATTTAGGATAAACATTATTTAAAATATAGAAAGTTACTAATATTCAAACCACCATAACTTTTTAAGTAATGAATATTTTACATCAAACTTTTCATAGAATTATTCTTTGACATTTACTATATAAAACTATGAAGAGTTTGAGTCCAAAAGTGCTCTGTGTGTCCATGTGATGGGCTTCAAAAATGCTGAATAAAATTGGTCGGTTTTAGATGACTTGAGCTATATCACCCAGGTAATGATAATGCTAGGACCATGCAGAAACAAAATTTTTTAATGAAACAATTTTGAGAAAGCCACACAATGTCCTCAAAAGCAGGATTGGAAAACAAATCCATGTTATCTTTCTTCCATATAGGACAATTGTAGAGATACTTAAAAGTCATTTCCAAAAAGAAAATAAAATGAATAATCTGACTGATATCGACTATAGAGGCAGATTTAATAAGATTCCCCCTCAAATATGTGGTTCAATGCTTTCACACGCACCTTTATCTCCAAGCTATTTATTTTATTGGTGCACCTTATTAGTGTAACATTTATTGAATTAAACTGGTTTATTCCTTGTTGAGTTATTCTGTGATAATCTCTTCCAAATTTTCACTTCATGACACATGTGAATCATCTCCAATTTATATGTTAGTTCCCCGTGATCTATAATTTACTATTCTACAATACCTTTTCCAATGCACATGTTGAAAGAATATTTTCACAAACAAATCTCATAAAAAACAAATTGGGAAACAAAATGCATGTAGATACATTAGATAGCATTTAATGATTTTAAAAAATTTTATTAAAATAATTAATAAATAAAAAATTTTTTTGGTGATTAATAAAATATATGCATTTTTTATCTAACACAAAACCCGCACTCAATTTCCTACACTGTTAATTAGTACATTCATTATATCGAGAAAAGTTACTATATAAAAATGCAGCCTAGTTCTGAGCCTCAATCTGTTAAATTGAGATTTTTATTAGACATCCACTAAATCAAAATCTGCTAAATCAAAATTCACTGTGTGCATTTATTTGATACTATTAGAAATGTTTATATTCTTTTTCTTCAAGATACAATCATAAATGTGAAATTAAAAAGTTAATTGACACTAGAAAGTGATGATATGAGTGAGAATATAGCTTCATTATTAGTTAATCCATTCACAAGGGTGAGCAACTCTAGAAGTTTAAAATGTCAATTTTTGCTTTATTCTCATTAATTATTAATTTTTGTTTCTTATGTTCTTATCTACAGCTCCCCATTGGAACAGTATATGTGCATATTATCTAAATTATTGATTTTTTGATATCTCTTCCTTAAAGCAAGGTTCCACATGAGCCAGCTCACAAGTCAAGTAACTTACTAAGCTCACAAGCTGAATAAGTTATCTGGCTCACAAGTCAGCCTGTGAGAAGCTTTACTTTTATGTGACCATTTAAGCCCAGTTCCATTTGAATTATTTCCATCTGATGAAAATAACAACAATAATGAAATTGATAATAGCAAAGATGATAATAATAATAATAAAGATGATGAAATTGATAACAGCAAATGTAATGATAATAATAATGACGAGGAAGGTCTCCCTTTGTTTGAAGAACAGAAAGCCTTTTTTCTCAGAATGAACAATAAATGGGTTTTACCAACCTGATATAATAGACTTGTTTGTAAATATGAAAGCTTGGTTTTACAATGAAGGAACTTGTTATATTTGTTATGATTTTGATAATAAAGTAGTTTGTCAGATAAGGATTCATAGCAAAGTGATTGATAGAATAATCCAAAATAGCAAGACTTATGAAAATTGTAAGAGCAAATTTAAAGAATCACCAAAATGCAACAAATGTGGTAGATTAAAAACTAGAATGGATATTATTCTTATATTTGTGCTTACATTAGGCACAAAGAGAATGTAGAAAAAAAGGAACTCCCTGTTTTACTTCATGAAAGGAAACCAAATGCTTTTTATGAAAGACAAATAAATGGTCTGAGATCAACTAACTGAGGAAGTGGATACTCATTTAGAAGTCCTAGAGACTGACATAAAAGATAAAAAAAAGAATTATTAGATAGAATAAAGGAATTAGAAGCTGAAGTAGAAAGATTAAAAAAATCAACTCCTCAAGAGTTAATAAAAGGGATTAACAAGCCATGAATTACAACAACAAAATGATCAATTAATTGCTCAAATTGAGGCTAAAAAATGACCTTGATTGAAAATAAGAATGTAATTTAGAAAAGATTTTCCTCTATATTCATTCCAACTGCCAAGAAAAATGAAAAAATAGTAGTGCATAATCAAAATGTTGTTAAACAAATTGGTTAATCTTCAGCCACACCAGCCTCTTATTTATGTCACATGATAAAATGTTTACTTTGGTTGCAGCATACATATGATAACAAAAATCAAAATTACAGTTTATAATATTTTTTTATACATCATCTTTGTAAATTTTTGTTTGTATGGTCATGACTATGATTATTATTAATATATTATTATTTTTAAGAGCAAGAAGGGGCATAAACCTTATATTTTTTACCTTATTATTAAGATGTGAGTCCAACATGATATTCATCAACAGTACTATAAAGCAATCCATCCGAACACATTTGTTCAACAGCATTTCTAAATAGTTGTGGAAATATTTAAATATGCATAATAATAATAATTAATATATTAATACATAATAATAAATATGCTTACACAACAATCATATCAGATCCATGTTTGTTTGATAAAGCATTTGCCATTTGACTAATATTAGTTCCAACACCATTCTTATCATTAGTAACAAAAGCAATTATGTCCTTGTATAATGGATTTTTTAAGTTCTGTGTATTAATTGTAAAATTATTAATTTCTCGACTATAATTTTCTCTCAGGAATGTACGAGTTCCCTGAAATATATATACATATATATTAGTATATACAGAAGATTATTGGAAACTTTATTTCAAATCCAATAGAATATTCCAAGCCCATAAAAAAATAAAAGAATAAATATTTACCACATTTTTTATAAAGTATAAATGATCAAAGATAACATGACCAATATGAGAACTGATCTCATTGAAATCAGTAACAGGTTTTATTTTTACAGCTACCACATATCGTTCCTTGTTAAGAACTTTTAGATTTCCAAATACAGTAACATATGTATTTTCCCTACAAATATAAATATGTTAATTAATTAGTTGAAATGTATGATGTATGTATGTATGTATGTATGTATGCATATAATTTTTATTCTTACTTAATATCATCATTTTTTGCATTTGCTTCATCAGTACTATCCTGCCAAATCTTCACAGAAATCAGTCCAGTACCATCCTCCATTATGTATTCAGTATTAGAAAAACGAGAGGAAACACTAGTAATCACTGCTATAAATGTAATCTGTATCAAAATCATAACATTTTTTTTATTAATAAAATACAAAAATATAAAAAATATGAAAAATAAATAAATAGAATGAAAATGATTTCATACTTACATATCCAATTTCGTATCCATCTAATTTAATTACACTATTATCATCGCTTACTTCTGCTTGATCTAATTGTTTGATTGTAACATGTCTAAGTGAGTGGGAAGCTTTGTTAAATGCCTATATATATATATACATATGCACAAAGAAAACAATTATGAATTAAAAAATAGATTTTATTTATTGTAAAACATTTTTATTATATCTATTCCTTTAAGCTAACTTGTGATGATGTTTCATCAAGCGCGCCATATGATTCATAATCCGAAGGATTAGAGTTTGTGCTACTGCTAGAAATTCTATTGGGGTTATTGGTGGAATTAAACTCTGGAAAACCTAAATAAACACTTGTTATCAAAATATCTCAGACACTTAAAATAATAATATTGTTTTGGCAGTTTTTGAAATCATTTACCTGACATTTTTGATTTCTTGAAAGAAACTCGTGTTATTTCTTTTATTTATCTTTTTTATTTTTATGGTACTCCTTTGTTACACGACTAGATTCTTTATTGACTGATCAGAAGATTCTCAAACAGGTTATTTTTCCTAACCTATTAAGTAGGTCGGACATTGATCTTTTAAACATTTCGGAAGCTATTTTATTTTAGTAATAAAGTTGATTCATATTGTTTTTTTATACGAAAAAGAAAATCTATATATTATCTAAGAATAAAAAGATATGAATATTTATTGGAAGAAAAATAGATTTTGCTTTTTAACAATGATATTACAAAAGAAATCACAAAAAATAATCAACAAGAAATGAAGGTAAAACTTTTTTTTATTTGGCAAAAAAAAAAAAAAACTCTCTATAGCCTAAAAGTTTTGATATATTTGCTATAATTTCCTTGGTTTCATGTTTGTATCTCTTTAGTTGAAGGTTCTGATAGAATTTTTATTTTATATAGTTTATATATTTATTTAAAAAAAAAGTTCGTTATCGATTGACATTATGTTACATCACTTAATTTTGATTTAATTACAAATTCACATAGATTTTGATTTCACATACAGCAATACTAATTAATTCTTGTCATTAGCATTTCAAAAGTAAAACTTTTTGGATAATTCACACACAGAAATAAATGTAATTATCAAGGCGTTAATAAAGTGTACTGATTTAAAATCAAAATGGTTAGTAATTCTGCATATGGTTGATTTTACTTTGAATATTGTATCACTCTTACTGAATATATTCATCCCCCAACCAGTAAAGGTACCAACTACAAAAATGGATGAAGACGTGATGTAAGGTTTTTTATCAAAATATGGTATGGATATTTCAGAATGAGAGTTTGCAACATAATTCCAAGCCTGCCAAAGGCATTGTGATCATTTGTAGATCAGCTAGGATAAATCAAATCATACTTAATCAACTGTTAAGTCTTAAATTGTCTGGTAAACAAGCTGATAAAATTAATGCTTCTTGCACACAAATTGCTGGCACTAGTGGTGAAGATCTAATTGAAGGTTTTTATGTAGTATTCCAGGACACAAATTTGACGTTAGTAGGTCACAATATATATATATATTGTGACTACTTACATTAGACTGTTACCTACCTATGTGGCCTAATCCGCTTTTTTGGCCACATGTGAACTATCAGGATAACGACATGGCCAATTTTCATCATCAGGCTACATGCAAACTATTGGACACACTTGAGTGTGGCTCATTCCAAATTTTTGGCCACATAGATGGGATAGTCTGGGATTTCGAATGTGGCCCATTTTTATTTTTGGCCAAGTTGATTAGGCAGTAAAAAAAATAGCATCATATACGATCCGACAATGCATTCACTTGTATGGCGGCGTCATTCGATCGCGAGTTAATGAGATATAGTTATTTTGCATTTTCGACAACAGTCAAGTGAGGTGAATTTTGCATTTTTGACCATATTTATGTTGTCGTTTGGTGTTAAATCGGGCGTTTAACCGGACGGTAAAAATATGTATTCATACCCCGCATTCAGGCTCCGAGATGTAACAAATGTGACTATCGTGAATCATGGTTCATAATCGACTTTATGTAGCATTTCAGGAAAAACAATCTAGAAGGCGGAATGTAACTCAATTTTCCGTGCCGTTTTCGTCCAAGAACAATTGTTTGCAATATGTATTTTGCTTTGTGCATTGCATTCGAATGCAAGGATAGGCACATAGTGCCGAATTGATATCCCACTTGGTGATATGTGGAAGCACAATTTTTCTTACTACTCCAATCATATCTACTTGATGTTATCCAAAGGTATAATTTTTATAATATATATCTTTCTGTATTAATTATACTTTTGGCTATCACCAATTATACACTATGTTTTCACGCCCTGGAACACTTTCTTGCATGGTTGGTATTACCTCTCCGTGTCAAAAAATTGAATCATACCTTTGCGTATTACTGGATCGAAAACTTTTACATATCACTTTTTCGTATCTTACTTTTTCCGTATCACCATATAAAAAATAATGATTTATAACTATTAATATATATATTTTTTATTTTTTACATGTGGTAAACTTCCATGTATTTTTACTAATGCCAATTAATGATTGTTCGTTTGAATATTCTCTCAATGCATCATTAAATAATAATAGTTGGTGTTGGTAATATTAAATTTGCTTTTTAAGACAGCTTAGTATGGTCAACTCCTCCAATAAATAAGGACATACTTTTAGTTTTCGGCTTTTCATGACATTTTAATCACTTTGAAAAAACCAAAAAACTGAAACAATTTAATTAAAGGCAACCTTTTACAATTGAGAATTTCAAGTTTAAATGAATAAATGGTAGCAAATGCTGCATAATAAATAGGATAAATAATATTTGCATAATATTCAACCCGCTTATATTGATTTTATTTACGGATTATATGTTAATTACGCGTATAAGAACAAACAAATTGGATGAAAATGAATAAAATGACAAATAATAATACTCTTTAAGCTTAATCTTAGTAGCTGCGACACCAGCGTGGATAGTGCGACTATATTTTAATTTTGATAATTAAGTTAATTAAGTGAATCCTATATCATGTCTGTACATATCTCGTGTGGATGAATGGATAAGTAGAAGGACAATGGTAAGACACATTTGAAGATGCTGGTGAAGGTAATGAAATCTGATTTTGTTCGGGTATATTTAAAGAAGAAATTATGATTTGATTATAACGATAAAAACTTTTGATTTTTTTTTTGCCTTGTCTACTTGTTTGTCTATCTAATATTATTTATCGTTATTTATAATTAATTATTAACAATTTGTGATAAAACACAAAATAATAATATACAATTCAATTAAAATAACATATCTTATAATTATACAACTACTCCAACAATGCTTTTTGTATCTGGATTAATCCCATTTCTCATAAAAAACCTCGCTTACAATTTATTTGTTGTGTCATTTAATATATGGTTTAAAAACAAGAAAAAAATACAGTAGTGAAATAGTGATATATATTATACACGTGGTTGTTAAGTCAGGGAACTCAATCAAAATTAAGCATCTATTATATTTAACACATTAATAACAATACTTAAATAAACGATGAAATAAAATAGATAATCAATCTTACGACATAGTTCACTATAAGGGTTGATCAAGAAATAAAACTTTTAAATATTAGTTTCATCGAGCTAGTAGACAATTTTCATTTGACCCTAACACGGAAAGCCCAATTAAGAACGGATTTTTTATTTAAATTTATCTAGAATTTTAATACTTTTAACAATATTTTAAATTCATTCTTCCAATCCAAGGTTGAAACCAATAATGAAAACGTTAGAGAACCATTATCATTTGTGTAGATATTAAAAAAGGAAATCAATTTACTGCCTTTTATTTATTTTGGTGCCACAAATACTAAATTTGGTCCTTACTCTCCATTTACGTAAATTATATTATTATTATTATTATTTATATCATTACGATAATAAAATGATATTAATATATTCATTACAATGATTATAATCACAAATTCATTCAATAATGACAATTATAACGATAATGATAATTAATGAATTCATTTTTTTAATCAAAAATATTTAATATATAATGTATGTAAAATGTCAAGATAAAAATACTTTAAAATACTTTTAATTGTTAAAAAGATAAAAAAATTAATAAACTATGTCAAACGTAATTAATTATTATTATTTTATTATTAATATTAATATCGTTATCATTGTCATTCATATTATTAAATTTAAACATATTTTAGGTAATCCTTACTATTGATAATCCAAAATATCCATTGATTGATGATCCTAATCTGAGTAAGGTAGATAGACAATTTAATATTTACCAATATGTTTGGCAAAGTTATTCCTCTTCTATTGATGAATCGGCTTTGGATGGTGCAAAAATTCTTGATGTTGGGTAATTAATAGTTTCTGATCAATAATTAATAAATTAGTAAAGCGCAGAAAAAAATTATTAATCATTTGGTTCGATAATTAGGTCTATGGGAGATCTATGGGCAGCACATATAAAAAAAGAACATCCTTCAGCCGATTTCACGATCCTTGACATACCTGATTTTCCCACTGATCCCTCAACTGCAACATTCGAGGAAGCTAAAGCTGTTCTAAAGGGATTGCCATATAATGAAAATACTTTTGATCTTGTTCATCAAAGATTTAGAGCCAACGCTTCATTTACTGAACAACAATTAAAAGAAAAAGTCATAAACGATTATATCAGGGTCCTTAAACCCGGTGGTTGGATTGAAATCACGGTATTTATTTTAATATCTTTTTATCAAATACATATTAATATATGCTTTTTATAGAATGTTTGCTTGTTCGTTTTAATTATCAGGATTTTGACCAAGAAATTTTCAATTCTGGAGAAGCTTATAAAAAAATTCAAAAAGCCAGTAAGTTTACTCATTCGTTATAAATATTTTATGTTTTATATATTTATTTTATTTTTCCAATTTACTTATTTATTTATAAATTTGTAAATTTATAGCACATGATACTCTTATCCAAGGAGGATTCAATCCTACCCCAAGTTCATTTCTTACCAAATTTATTGAATCACACAAGGATTTGACCAATTTCAAGTTCATAGAACATAAATATCCGGTTGGTAAATGGGGCGGCGTTCTTGGTAAAGTGGTAAGTGAATAATGTTCTTTTCTAATTCTATTTCGTGATCTGGGTAATACTGATCTATTAACATTAACATTATCATTATCACGTCTCACGTCTTTTAGATAATTAAGCAATGGGAGGTGATTTACAAAGATTATGCTCCAGTTATGAAGAGTACATTGAATTGCTCTGATGAAGAATATTCTGATTTGTTAACAAAATTTGTCAATGAAGTTGAAGAACATAAATCATATTGGGTAATTTATAAAATTATTGCTCAAAAAAAATAATCCAATATTTAAGTAAAAGATTTTCTTTTTGTATTCTCGTTATTATTGTTTGTTTATTTAATTAATAAAAAAAGACATTTAAGGTTTTGATTTAAATTATAAATTTAAACCTGTGGTTTGGTTTGTTTGATTGATAAAATTATTAACGTTAAATTAAGAATTAATGGAAAGTCTGTGTTCAGTTTTTATAATGAAAAGTCATGTCTTTGTTCGGTTTATTACAAAAACCTTGTAAATCTTGACCTAAGAAATACAAATAATTGCATAAAAAAATACGAACCTTCTTATATATATTATGTATATTAGCTTTAGTTTTACAAACATATCATTTTCATTTTTTGAATAATTGGGTGGAATTAAGAGTAATTAAGATTGGCATGTAAGGGTGCAAACATATTGCCGAGTTGTAACCTATTGTTATGACATCTATATGACGTGAAAAGGTTGTAACCCTTG